GGAACAGTTTGGGAAATAGGCTCATTTGCTTTTCTTGCCTAAAGTCAGATATGAAAATTGATAACACTTTTATGTCTGTATGGGGAAGCTACAGTCACCAGTTAGCTTAGCTTAGCATAAAGACTGAAAGCAGGGAAACAGCTAGCTTGGCTCTGTCCAGAGGTTACACCCACCAGCACCTCTAAAGCTTACCAATTGACACTCAATGTGTTCTCTGTTTACTCAGTACAAAATACAAAGTGTAAAAACCACACGTTGTGGTTTTACCCGGGTGCTATTTCTGGCACCCACTGGAGACTCCAGGTGGATTTTGTTACCTTTGGACAGAGCTATGCTAAGCTAACTGGCTGCTGGCTGTAGCTTCACATTTATTGCACACATGCATGAGTGTGGTATCAATCCTCTTATCTCTCAGCAAGAAAGCAGAAAAACGTTTCCAAAAATGATGATCCTAAAAGTGTTCTAGAAGGTCCTGACTCACTGTGCTCATTAAAGATCCCATGGCACGTCCCAGTGTCCTGTCAAACTTCCCAACCTGGCTCTGTCCATCTGGCCACCTAATCATCCCCTTGTGTAAAGGGCTTTACGTTTCCCTCCCTCTCCACCTCAAGCTGATGTGTGGAGAGCGTTCTGGCACATGATGCTTTAAAAAGCAGCTCTGAGCCTATATCTGCTGAGGCATGCTTTGTTTAGTTGTATTTAGTTTATACTGTGTCTTATATTATTGCCTTCTGCTTGTGTCTTTTTATGTGATGCCCTTTTTGTACTAGCTGTACCGGGAAACCTACAAGCTTGCAGTCTTTCATCAGCAGTTTTTAACTTTAAAGGGACAGTTAACCCCAAAATCAAAATGACATATTTCCCTCTTACCTTTAGTGCTATGTATCCATCTACATTGTTTTGGTGTGAGTTCCAGAGTTTTGGAGAAATGTTTGCCTTCTCTCCTGTATAATGGAACCAGAAGGTACTCGGCTTGTGGTGCTCAAAGCACCAAAAAGAAATCATGACCTGGTTACCTCAAGATAATCCACAGACCTTGTTGTGAACAGTTTCGTGGAGGAACGACAGGTATAGGAACTACGTATCACTGCACAGAAGGAAGTGCGTTTTTACTCATGGACCACACATGTAAACATAAAGTGCGACCTCCTCAGATGAGTTTGGTAGAAAGAAACGTTAACACAGGGATCGCAAACTGCTGGCCCGGGATCCATTTCCGGACCTTCATCCCCCTGTAGCCCACAACATGAGGTCAAAAATATAATATAATCTGGCCAGCAAGATTTTGTTTTTTAGTTGTTACATGTCAATATAAACTACCCCTTCATGTACAATTAAAATAAAAATCTATCTATTTTAAAAATGTAAGGTGCCTGCAAATGTGTGCAAAGGGTCGACAAAAAGAGAGATGATATAAAATGGTGATTTAAAAATGTCATGTCAAATGGCTTCTTTTAGAGTGATAATATTTTACAGATCATATTGCTTCATCATTATTATTGACGTATGAAAATGTAAGCAAAATTTTAACGTAGCTGGTCAAGAAGGACCTAATTTTAACAACTTTATATGTATACATATTGGATGATTTTATTTAAATAAAGCATCATATTTTATATTTTAACTAGGTGTTTAATAAATGTAGTGAGTGAGATATTTCCCTCTGAAATTTAAGTATGAAGTGGCATAAATGGGGAATACTCAAGGAAAGTAACATGTACCTAAAAAATGTTACTCTCCTCCACTGGAAATGCATCATTAAGAGTGTTTCTATCACTTGTGACTCTGTGGGGAAAGCTGGAGAGAACTGGTAATATATCCTTTGTGAGGAGAGAAATCCTACACACACAGACTTAAGACCACTGACAGTATGACTTAGACATGTTAGTTTTCCCAAGCAGAGGTTTATAATGTGACAGCGTTGAAATGTGCTGGAGCTTCAAGGAAGATGAAGAACAATGAACGCTTGGGCTTTGAATTATTCAGGTTGAAATCAAATCGCAGCAGGAGAGCAGAAGGATTCCACAGAACCTTGAAGTTCACTACCTGAGGATTTCTCTCAAAAGTGAATTTGTTATGGTCTGTTACACCAGCAGGGAGAGAGTGTGAACTGAACAGTGCTGCCATCCTGACACCTAGTGCCGGCTCGGAGTATTGCATTTATTTTTTATTTTTTAATGAAAACTCAGCACAGTTTAGAAACATCACTTTTATTTCATTGATTCACACAGCTGATTTAAGTTTTTCTTCTCATATTAACCCACCCCCCTCCCTCTTTAACCCACCCTTGCTTGGTTCCAACAACAGCTACAGAAAATTCAGGTTGGAAACTGAGAACAAATGTAGCAGCTACACAAAGCTTTGGATGCCAAACAAAGATGGTCACAGTGATGAAGGCACTCTGGCAGATTGTCAGTACGTATGCAGTGAAACAGCAGTCCCTTGGTATTCTTAAGTTATGACTGACATTGTTAAACACAATTGCATCCTCCACCATAACCAATTAATTAAAAGACAAATAACCTTTCACGAAATCAACCTTTCACTCCTTTTCCATTCAACCACCCACAGAGGAGACCTTGTAGAAAATAGTAGAAAAATAGACACCACACAGACACAGTGGATCACAGCTCGTCCCTGTCGCTCTCAGAGTCTGAGGCCGACGTGGCGTCGGCTTTAGCTTTCTTGGAGTCCTTGTTGGCTGCAACTTTTACCGTCTTTTTTGTAGCGGTTTTTTTGCCGTCCTTTACCTGCTTGGCTTGTGTTTTAACCGTCTGTTTTCCATCTTTTTTAGCAGCAGGTTTGACTTTGTCTGCTGTCTTGGTCTTCACTTGCGCTCCAGCTTTGGCCTTCGCTTTAGGAGCAGCTTTGGCTTTAGAGACCAGTTTGGCCTCTGTTTTGTCCTTTGGTGAGTCGGCTGGTTTATCGGCCGGCACATCTGCTGGTGCGTCCAGCTTCTGCTCGGCTGGTTTGTCGGCCTGCACGTCTGCTGGTGCGTCCGGCTTCTGCTCGGCTGGTTTGTCGGCCTGCACGTCTGCTGGTGCATCCAGCTTCTGCTCTACTGGTTTATCTTCTTGTTTGCTGTCCACTTTTTCCTGTTCAGCCTGCACAGGAGGCTCTGGGGTTGTCGGCTGGGGCTTGGAGGTGTCAGTCACCTCCCTTTTGATGAAATCTTCATTTACAGGGGTAGAAAACATATGCAGAATATCCTGAGCCTGGATTCTCTCCTACAGAACAGAAAAAGAAACATTTGAGGAACAACAGAATGCAAGATGCGATAATTAAGAATCAAAATGAGGCAGATAAAAACTCCATTCAATATAGTTGAACAAGAACCCGGCTGAAACAAGTATTCGGTACAGATAATGTACTTTTTACGTGCATGAGTATCATTAGGGTAAATAAAGTGAATAGTAAATAGTAAGAAAATAGTTTTCTTTTCTTCTTCTGATCAAAAACAGTGCTCTGAAGCTCAATTCTGAGGCTGTTCTGTAAAGACTTTTCTAATAAATTAATCAACTTCTGATCAACAGTAATCAGGCTTAAATAATAACGTTATGTTTGCCTCTGGTTTGAGCACCACCCACGTCTGGTTAAAGCTCTGCCAATTTCAAGTACAGATACAGATACTTTACTTGGTTGAAGAGATACAGATAATACTGTACTCGCTCATGCCTACCATTCATAACTGGATTAGATATTTTCCAGAGAAGTATACATGCAGAACAATCGCTGCTTTCAAGAAGTAAAACAACATTATCTACACCTGCATGTATTTTACATTTACCGGCCACTATCTGTCTTTGCATGGCAAATGCCCAATTTTGTGTCTTATATTTTTATAATAAACTTTTCTTAAAGCTGCAGTAGGTAACTTTTATAAAAAGTAACTATTATTCTTATTCATTTCTGACATTTTAAATATATCCTGACAGTAGAACATGAGACAGATAATCTGTCACAGGTTCCTCTGGCTCCTCCTAGTGCTCCTATTGGCATTTACAAGAATCCACCGGGCCTGAATGAAAACAACCAATCAGAGCCAAGAAAAATAGCTGATTGTTGACTCTCATTCCCAGGTCATCACATACCAACGCTAACTCGTCCCAAAGCTAAAAGCCACCAACTGAAAGCATCATTATTTAATCACCTGGGAATAAGACTCATGAATCAACTTCCTCAGCTCGGTGGTTTGCTCTGATTGGTTGTTTTCATTCAGGCCCTGTGGATTCTTGCAAATACCATTAGGAGCAGATTATTTGTCTCGTGTACTGCTGTCAGGATATAGTGAAAGTTTCATGCAAATATGACAAAAAGTTATTTTTATAAAAGTTACCTACTGCAGCTTTAACAATGTTACAAAGTGCTTTACAAAAGAAAAAGAAAACTGGACAAGGCACATAAAATGAAAATAAGAAACATGACGAAGTAAAACAATAAAACGAGTGAGAACAAATAAATAGGAATCAAAACAGTACAAATAAAAACATACGTCAAATATTTCCAAAAACTTTCACAAAAACATACGTTTTCAGAAAGGATTTAAAAGAAGCTACAGACCTAACTGAGTTCTTGAAGCTTTCTATTACAGGAATTATTGTTTTGAAAAAGGAATCAAATCATTGCTTTAGTGTGTGCAACATTAATTTGTAATACATTTGGCAATTCTAATGTCCCTTTTAATGTGTGACAATTGTTGTTCCACTAAGATATTAAGGGTTAAATTAGGGTACACCATATTCAGTTATTTTCTTTTAGTAATTAATGATTAAAAGAACGGTTCAATGGTACAATTCTTTTACAAGTACAGCATATAATTACATTGCATGCAATTTACTGCAAAACCGTAAATTGAATTGATTCTTCTTACTTTACACAAATGAATATAATAGAGGCTGCTGGTAAAAGCTAGAATTGCAGAGCGATTCTTGTTATACTAATTTTAGTCTACAGAGATCGTCTGTACCTTTTCCTCGTGAGTAGGATCCAGGGTGAACCACAGCGCCACAGCGCACCTTTGACCCTTAGTGACGGCTCTGACGCCGTGGGGGTTCTCCTTCCCCGCTCCGAACCCGACCACACGGCCGCACTGTGGACGCACCTCGGCCTGGAGGAGCATGAAAATATAGAACGTGCAACATTTAATAACAGTGAAGCTTGTTATGGTTTTTGTTTATATGTACCAGACGTGTCAAAAAAGATTGTGGAAAGAAAAGCTGAAAGTTTACCGTGACTGTTTTAGCATCCAGCTCAGTGAAGATGAAATCTCCTCCTTCAAAGTCATCATTCAAATAGAGGATGGCACTGCAGGGGAGAGACATTAGGATGTGGGTGCTCGTCATCAGGGTTGTCTGGCTGAATGATAGACTCTGTAGTGTACTACACTAGTGTGTGTGTGTGTGTGTGTGTGTGTGTTCACCTGTAGTCTCTGTGTGTGTACGCAGGAGGTTCCTTTATACACTCGTTAATCTCAGAGACCAGCAGACAGTTGTCAACATGAACAGGATGACTCAGGTCCTTGCGTTCCTCCTGCTTCTCTGAATAAACAACAGTGCAAAGAAAAAACTTCAAGTTGTGATCACACAAATCAGTAAAACCAGTACTGATTACAAATCAGTAATACTGAACTTTGAATACAGTGGATTCGTTTCTCACTTACCATCAATGGCGGAGCGGCAGACCAGGTGGGAGTAAGAGAAGTAGAGCGGAGTTTCCAGGTGGAAGTACGACTCCACCACCTTCCTCACCTTCTCACTAAGGTCGAAGAACAGACGAGTGCTCTTCAGTGGAACCTTCCCCTCCTGTCCGAGCTGCAGAATGGGGAAACACCATTTAAAGCTGCAGTAGGTAACGTAAATAAATAACTTTTGTCATATGTGCTGAAATTTTTACAGTATCCTGACAGTAGTACATGTGAAAAAAATCTGATTCCTCTGGCTCCTCCTAGTTGCATTTGCAAGAATCCACTGGGCCTGGACAAAAACATATACAGGTACAAAGACGTTTTGGGTTGGAGGCTTGGAGACAGTTGATTGTTGAGTGTCATTTCCAGGGTCCCAAAGCATCTGTATTTGACGACGAATGAAAGTCAACAATCAGCTATCTTTCTTGCCTCTGATTGGATGTTTTCTTTTAGCCCAGTGGATTCTTGCACATACCATCAGGAGCAATAGGATGACCCAGAGGAACCTGATTTATTCACAGATTATCTGTCTCATGCACTACTGTCAGGATATAGGGAACATTTCAGCAAATATGACAACAAATATTTTTATAAAAATTTCCTACTGCAGCTTTAACAGCAGCCACATGGATGAAATCAATGTAGGTCAACTTCTTTAAATAAACGTTATACTGTATTTAATTAATGTTGGTACGTTGAAACTGTGTCTGCGTGGCTGTTTTCTAATGAGAACACTTGGCTAAGTACTTTGGGAGTAGGACTACAGACCTTCACAGCCTTCAGGACAGTGACTCCCTGGAACATCTCACTGGGGGAATGGGGGGAAGGGCGCCCCCTGTAGCCATCACCTTTCAGAGCTGCTGCCTGGGAAATATGCACAACATCAACTGTCTGACATGACGGTTTGACACACACGTTTATATAACTCCCCTATATAAATTCTATTAAGGCTTCAATTATGCATAACTGAGGGAATGGTCACTTTGAGTGACATAGGTGGGTGTCATCACAGGTAATCTGGCTTTATTCAGGCCTCCTCAACTCCACCCACGCTCCATGCATTTGTCCATTTTTGGATTAGCCGGGAGCCAGTGGAGTCGGGACTTCCAAGATGGTGACGGCCAGAGCCGACCACACTGAGCTTCTTCAGAAACCTATGGTTGATGTCACAGAGACTAATTCCATCTTTTATACAGTCTATGGTTGGCACTTGTTTTTAGTAGTAATGTGGTTTATTTGCTGTTCCATCCTGTTGCACTCCCAAATCTAACAACTTTTGTTTCTGTGGCAGTACAGTTAACTCAATAAGCTGTCAGTGATTTCATTCTTTAGAGAGCTCACATTGGAGAGGCGCTGCAGCTCCCTGCACTCGTCATCACTGATCACTCCATCCAGCAGCACCCGCTGAGAGCCGTTCAGCTGCTGGGGCGTCATGGTCACCTTAATGTTATCATGCAACACACTGACACCTAGGGGAGAAAGGTTAAGTTACAGGATCAAGGGAGTAAAAGTCGGACTGTCAGACTTAAACCTTCTCAGGTAAGTACTATAGTTAAATTTAGTTTTTATTGTAGTTTTGTTTACATATGAAATATTAAAGATTAAATCATGAACATCATCTCACTAACATCTGGTTCACTAGTGATCTGGGTGGAACTTTTACCTTCCTGTGGCGCTATAATCATGGTAATATCTGAAGAATCCTTCTTCTTCTCCTCAACCAGAGTCTCAATCTCCTTCATTAGGTTTCCTATTTCCTCTGTGATCCTTGCTGCAGTCTCTCTGTCGGCTCTGAGACACACACACACAGGTAGAATGACAGAGGCTTTAACATGACGTCAACATTTATTCATGTCCTGCACCAATGTGTGTGAGGCGGTGTCTGCAATCTTACTTCTGCTTGTCTCTCAGTTTCTTGGGCATGACATCTTCAGGAGTCCATGTGTCCTGAATAATAATGGTAGTAAAGGCACAAGTAAGATACCACCAAGCATGAGTTAACTATGTGACGGATAACAAATGATTTATTCACTCACTGGATCTACAAAGGTGACTCCGAAGGCTTCATATCCAAAGTAGAGCAGCTCTTTTTCCAGTATGGACTGCTGAATGTACAGTTTCACCACCTGGAGCCAGACATCAATTGAATGATGAGATATATTAGATACTGTGTTCAATTAAATGTGCAGAAAACAGCTACATCAAGGTAATTAGTAATTATTAAGTAATCTATATGGGCATTTTTGCCCCAGCCTTTGCCTCTCAAGCTCAACACAGACTGCCCTACACTTAGTCATTTTTTGTGCCGTATCCTGTCTGAGGGACAGTAATTTTTAGTACATGTCAGCATCATTTTCTTCTGCATATGTACACAATTTGATTCCAACGTGGGAAAGGCGGACTCCGCCACTAGCAACTTTTTTTGTTTGTTTTTTTTAAATATTGTTTTGGGGCAATGTCATGCCTTTATTTGATAGCTAAAAGTGCAGAGATGACAGAAAAGAGAGATGGGTGATGACAGGCAAAAAAAGGGACATTTTGACTTGTCATAGTAGTACAAACACTACTAGGTCTCTACAAATGAAATTATGAAATAAATAAAATGTGTTTTTAAGTCGTTTTGGTGAATTAATAATAACTTTGCATTCCCATATAGTATAGTTGTAGGCAGTGCCTGAAATGCACCTAAACAAAACATACCCCTAGCCCAGATTTTTTTGCTGTTTTTATACCCTCATTAATAAGGATATTTTTAGTGTGTTTGCTTAGCATTAAGGTAGCTACTTGTTTACACAGAGATGCAGTTATGCAGTAGTTTACTCAGTACTGGTGAGTATTGGCCCATTTCAGGCACTGGTTTCAGGGTTTTTACTGACCACACCTTACCCCATAGGAGTGTTTTTATTCCAAAACTAAGCACAGGCTGGAAAGTGAGTTTAGTTGTGAAAGCCAGAGATCTCAGCAGCCAGAGAAATAATCACTTAGTCATTAGTATTGATCAACAGCCCTATTAACCCACTATAAATACTGTATAATATGGACATTTAGAGCCTGAGGCAGTACAAATCTTACTTATTGCTTAAGCAGCAAATGTTTATCTGCTTTAGATTACCATCAGTGCTTTTTTAATGTCTCTCTGTGCCCTTGAGTACATTTAAGTGCTACTGGAGACCATTTTTCTCTCACAACTGATTTATTGCTGATAGTTATGGAATAAGATAACACACAGTTAAAAATAACTGCACTCACAAAGTGCTTTGAACAAAAGCCAAGCATCGTGCGAGTAAACCCGACTGTACCTGTCTGGCTGATATGGTCTTTGCCTTGTCTTCACCCAGCACGGCAGAATAATAGGCCAGGTTCTGGTTCATCACCTCGTCGTCAGGGTGGAACAACAGGAAGGTCCTAGCACACTCTATGGCCTGCTCATATTTCTCACCTGGAGAGAGGGAACAGAAGCAGGAGAGTGAACAGCTGGTATGAGGTCTCCAACAGCTGTTCTAAAGTAATACAGTGTTCTTATTGTAGGAAAAAAAGGACAGCAGGTCATCATGAAGATTCATACACTGGAGGTGCAGTTTACAGGGAACAGCATATATTTTTATGTTTCTGGGCTTACAGTCTATCCAGCGGACGGGCCAAGATCCCCTCTTCTGGGCGCGATAAGAGATGTGGTAGAGCTGCATTGTGGGAAGGGTAGCCTATTCTAAGTAGTACTAAAAGATCCCTAATAGACCTTTTTCACAGCAGCCATTTTGACATGAAATAGCAGGCTAAACACAGGCGTTACCAGTGATACTAATTAAGGCTCCGTATTATTCCGGGCAAACAGACTCAGGAATACACTAAATGGAACAGAACCTTAATTGGTATCACCTGTGTTTACCCTACTATTTCATGTCAAAAGGCCTGCTGTGAAAAGGGTGTTTTAAACCTTTTATCCCTCCTTGTTATTAATTATTAGCAGAGCAATGGTAGCTGCTTCTCACCTGTAGCTGGTGCTACCAGTCTCACCAGTTTAAATGACAACATGACACTACTGACAGGTTAGATGCTGTACTGAATTAACATTAATACCATCATGGCTAAAATTAAACCTTTGGCTGTTAATGATCTCTAAGGGGACGGCTTGATTAGCTTTTTTAAAAATAATTTAATACATCTTATAATGTAGGAGATGATTTTCAAATAAACCACCGCCAAAGACATTTAAAATTATTTTAGCTGGTTAATGGCTAATCAAATATCACTGCAGGCATTACAAGGTGTTTTTCTTTAACTGTGGTCAGGGTGTTGATTTATTCAAATGTGTATTAACATTTGATAAGAGCTAAGAGATTTCCTGGTTTAGTAAGTCTGGTTGATGGTGCTAGACTACATCTTCTTCTTTGTACCAATGCTGGATGTCGATTAGTTGTAATGTAATTGTCCCCCTAAGTGTAATGCCAATTACTTTAAGGGTATCACCTGTGTGTTTGCTATTTAAGAGACACTGTATACTTGTGACCCTGTGAAGGCTGGACGGCCATTTGTCTTCTTGTCCTCTGTAAATAAAGCAACTTCTTGTCATTATTAGTCAATAAAATAAAGTAACAGTACCAATGTTCCTCAGCACTGTGGAAACTCTACATCTTGTTTTTCATAAAAGGCCAATTCAACTAATATATCTGGCTATCTGCAATATCAATGGTGCTGTAAATCTCTGTACATTTAGAATATAATTCCATTAGATTGAGGCATGTATGCTCCTCAGTACAGGCTGAAAAAGACAGGGCTGTGAGACTCACTGTTGTAGTAGGAGAACTGCAGGTAGTTGAAGTGTGAGGGGAGGAAGTCCTCAAAGGGCTTGTCTCTGCCTGCAGTTGAGGCCAGCTCTACCACGCAGTGCTGCTTACAGTTCAGTACCTGAAGGTAGTGGTCTGAAACACACAGACACGTTTACATAAACTTCAGCAAATTCTCAACAATGTGAATCTGTTCTGCACAGAAACCCCAAGGATGTCCTGTCTCACCCGTCATGGCCTGGAACAGGTCGGCACTGTACTCCATGTAGTTGTATCCGTCGTAGTTGTAGGCCCCCTCGCACAGCGCTCTGCACTCCTTATCGGCGGTGAAGTACTCGTCTACGGCCACCTCGAAGTGTTTAGCCGCCAGGCCGAACGAGTCGTCGCTGTAGTAACTCTTCCCCAGCAGGAACTCGGCCTGAGGAGAGAGCGAGTGGGCATCCAGTGAGGTGGCTTATGGTCACCATTGCAGAGGGGATGTTGTGTAATATTACTAGTTTCACATATAAAAGCGTTCATCTCTAGATCAGTGGTTCCCAACCTTTTTTGTAAGCTGTACCCCCACAGCCCAGTCCGATAAACTCAAGTGCCCCTTCTTTAACACCACCATTCATGTTCCAAATGTGTTTAATTGGGTTCATTTCAAGCTGGATGTTATTTAACTTTTAATTAGCATGGTATGATATGAAAATTTCTTAATAATTACGATATACTTTATTATCACGATAATCATGAAAATATAGTTCATACTGTTATAATGGCACTAAAACATACTGGAGTCGCTTTACCTTACATTTAGTTAAGAAACACCTCATCTCCCTGTTCTTTATTTGGAATCTATACTATTTCCACTGGTTTAACTTTTTTTATGGGGATTCAACAGGCAAGCCGAGCCTTCAGCCATGCTGACAGGCCTCTGATTTTCTTGATTGTAAAAACACCAAAATTAATTGTTACAGCTGACTAAAAATATGGATGTATTTTTTAATGAAATCATTAATTAAACTTTTATTTAAGCAAATCGACAATCTCTCCACATAGCCCCTGGTTACAGATACCCTGGGTTGGGAATCACTGTTCTAGACAACAGTCATAATCTTTCATTAAATCAAGTCTGTAACAGGCCAACAGACATACTTCAAACATGTTAGAGTTCAAACCCTCTATTTTAACAGCAGTAATAACAAAGTGCACATATGGGTCTTGAAACAACTTGTCTGGGTTTACAAAAGCTATTTTAAAACTTTAAGTTGGCTAGGTGCAGCAACCACAGTAAGTATCTGAAACTGTAGAGAATAGATCATGTAACAAAGTGTTTCTGAATTAAACTGAGCCAAAAACAATTACTGATATGTGAGCAAAGTAAAGAAACATTATCGACCACCAGGCCCCCTCTAAAGACTGGCCTTGAGGCACAAAAATGCCATAAAACTCATTAGAGAGGGAGGTTGCTCTTACCATATGTGTCCTGGCCTCCAAATCTTTAAAGTCCTCTTCCTTTACTCCCGCCATCATCCTGTAGTACTCCAGGTTCTGTCTCATCTCCATGTGATCCGGGTTGGCCTGGTAGAACGTGTGGGCAGCTGCCACTGCCTTGTCCAGCTTATTGATCTGAAAAACACACAGGGGTTCATCATCCTCTCTGACTGGAGGCATATTAATCGACGAATCACCTCCCACAGACCCTAATCAACAGTATTCACTGCTGTCTGCCAAACAAGGCTCGGTCTATACAACCCTCTATCTATATTAAAATGGAAACAAATACTCTTTTCCCACTTGAGAGCAGCAGACAACACTGATATAACATTTTATGGAGTATGTAAGTCCAACACCCACTCTCACTCCTGAGGAAGATACCTTGCACTGTAGCTGCCAAATGCTCCACCGTGTTCACCTGCTCAGCTAGTCACTTACTTTATTGCTATAGCAGTTTGGTGCTAAGCAGCTAGCCTACAGGGGATTGTATTATGGTGCATTCCATTTGAAGTCCGAATTTTAACTGGAATGCACCCTGAAGTCGTATTTCTAACTAGGAAAATCGAAGGAACCTCAACAGCGACCTCAAAATCCAAGAAGGCTGCTCCGTGTGTCAACTAGGTGAAAGTTGTAGGAATATTCTGTTTATTAGCACTACTGTGCTTTGTTTCTCATTAAATCAGTCATACATACAGTAAGCGGTCAGCTTGGGTGTGATGTTCATTCCCAACTCTGACTTTGGACTATATGGAACGTACCATTAGAGCTTTATGCTGAAAACAGCTACTTGCTAATGCTGGAAACAACGCTACGAGTAGAGCTGCAACGATTAGTCAATTAATCGATTAGTTGTTTACTATAAAATGGATGGATTCATTCATTCATTTGAGGACATCACCTTGGCCTTCGGGAAACACTGTTTTTCTGACATTTTATGGACCAAACAACTAATTGATGAATCGAGAAAATGATCAATTGATTAACTGACAATGACAATAATTGTTAGCCGGAGTCCTGGCTATATTTTTGCTTTTGATTTTTTTCTCAGTACTTGACTACGCTCACCAAACCTCATCAATCAGCTGTGAAATATATATTTGACTGTACGTTTAGCCAACCAGTCCCTTACTTGTGGTTGCAAAGAGCTAATGTCAGTGGCCTGTAATTAAAGCAAACAATGAGCATTTTCAGATCAGTTCAGTGTTCAGTATGTTGTATATACACTGTGATCCAGGGGAAGTGGTCAACAGGTGATGTAATATGATGTTGGGTCATTTTGTGGGGTTGCATTACATGGAGTATGTTTTATGCAAGGAATTATATTAAAATACACTATTAATTAACGTATTACTAGTAATAATATGACAGTAATATATTACTTTCCCCAGTAACTAGTAGTGTAAGTAATTACTAATACATTTCAGCAATAACATTACAGTTACTCCTCAAAAAAACAATGACTTACAATATTACTTTGGCTGGGAGCCCCTACTGATTTGAAATCCAACAATTCAATCACATCCTCTGATTCATTTTTGCATTGTAACTGTTACAATGTTGTAGGCAGTTGCAGAAAAGTAATATAACTAGTAGTGTAACTAATTACTGTTGGCAGGGAGTATACAGTTTCTGAGTACCTAGCCCAGCACTGTCTGTATTTGAGATCATTTCTTCCACAGATTTTAGTGCCATTCTCCAGCAGTTTCCTGATGTTGCTGCTTTCAAGTTCTGCCTGAGAGTAGTATTTTTGAGTACACACATAACAAATGGACTGGTGGAATGTTTAAAGAAAGATAATAAAATTGCAAATCATATAACTGTCTTGGCCTGTTCTATATTACAGCTAAAAGTACTCCAGTGTGCCAGCAAAGCTTGAAAGCAGCACTTTAAACCGCTGGCTCCCAGAAACCGACGTCCTAACGTCAGAGTCCACAGAAGCTGACTCCACCTTAAGACGTGGCATGGTCGTCCTGGTTTTGGGGGGGTTGGGGCATTTACAGTATCCAACTCCACATCAACTGAGCCTGAATGAGACTAAAACTGCAATGTGTTTGAAGTGTTCCCCTTGCTCTGGGCCTGCATGTTAACTATGAACATGAGCAGAGTTAAAGCCGCAGTTGTTCTGTGTGATGTTGGTTAGAGTGGGACAGCACTGAATGCAGCTCATAGCTTGTAGCCTCCTGTAGCTTTATACCTTAAAATATGCCACTTGTAAGTAATTGTACGGGGTCCTCTTGTTGAACTCCAGCTGCACTTCTCCAGTCACTTGGTGCATAGTTGGTGAACCCAGTTTCTCAGTTTCGCAGGAGTTCACGCAGTCCGCCCGTTTCAGGATCTTCTGGAAGAATCCCAGGTCCTCCACAGATCCGGATCCCGGTATGGGAACTCCCAAGCCGGCCAGCCGATCTCCGAAAGAGGTCTGGTTGGCGCAGCTCATCCGGCACTGAGCCTTCACGCTGCGGACCGTAGCTTTGTTCCTGAGCGCCTTCTCCATGTTCAGGATCACCGTCAACCAGTCCCCCTTGTAGTAGGCTTCCACCGCCGTGTCGAAGAGGAAATCATAGGGCTCCAAAACAAAGTGAGTGCTCAGATTAGTGTTCGCAGCGCACAGTGGCACAACGAGGCAGCAGAGTATGAGCGCATAACGGAGCTCCATGATGCCAAAATGTCAGGACTCTGCAGCGGGACGGAGGCTCAACCGGAGACTGCAGGAGCCGGTAGAGAGAGGAACTTCTGCTCCCACACTCACTCCTCTGGAGGTGGGGTTAGAACAGTTGAGCCCCCGGCAACACCCCCCTCATCCCCAGCCGACACATGAAGATATCATTATGTTATTATAACAGTGTGTGAGGCGAGGGTACAGTGTAAGTTAGGATGGACCTCAGTGTGTAAGACTGCTCAGGGTTTATATCAGCTGGGTGTCTGGTGAATCCCATAAAGTCCCCCTAACTAAAGGCCCAATCAGTGTCATCACTTCCTCTCAGACCAACATGTTTGTTTTGCTGACTTACAACTGGATTCCCCGGGAAGAGAAAGTTAGTTGCAAGTGTATGGAAGCTCATTAGTGACAAAACTTACAGAAAATGCATTAAACAAATCTGATTGATAAGATAAGTTAATAGACTTTGTCGGTCCCACACTGGGGAAATTCGCTTTTACAGCAGCTGCATATACAAAACAACACAATACATAACAAAATAGACAATAAATAAAAATTAAATAGAAAAATAAGAATAAGAGTTATATGCACACTGTATACAGCTTTTATATACAGATGTAATTGATGGAACATTGCACAGGTCACAGCAGGAGGTTATGGTACAATGTAGTAGGATATATATATATTGAATATAAAGAGCTTATATAAGGAGTATGTATAGAATAAAATGTGCATATTCAATATATATGAGTAAGCAGGATATTAAAACCTGAGGTAAATATGTGAAGGTGATGTGAGTTTTTAGTTGATGTTACAGAGAAACAGAACAATGCTACATTATGTCACTGCTGTGTTGAAGAGTCTGACAGCTGTTGGAATGAAGGACCTGTGGCCGTGTTCCTGATGCACTGTGGGTGCAGCGGTCTGCCATCTTGATTGAACGACTTTAGAGCATAAAAGAAACTGTGTTACAGCTTTAGAGCAACATGTGGGGCTTCTTCATTGTTTTGTGACGTGCTTTCACATGTAGATGTTTATTAGCCTCACATATTCATGATCATTCATCATCATATTCAAAATGAGAGCAGAACAAACAAACAAACATTGACTTTCACCTGGAAATGAAGAGCTGGCTTACGTCTTGTGCTCAGATGTGTCAGAGCCCATTTCAGACTAGATCTTCCCATGTTATGATGTTCAAGGGCGGATCTAGATGGCTGGTGTAGGGTGGCAGCTGCCCCTCCTGAAAAATGCCTGGCCACCCCAGCTTGATTTTGATGCTGTCAAATTTAACACATTCATTTAGATTAATCAAAAAAATTATAATGTGGTAAAAATGGAAATTAACACATATAATGGTGTGTATAAACTGTACTATATAAAATATAATCTGCTACTGTCATATTTCTCATGCACAAATTAAAAACAAAGTCAAATAATTTTCACACCACAGAATTTACTGCTTTATATCAAGCAAACTTCACTAGATCACATAGGAAATACTGACTGGATCTTCTCTCATTTAAAACATGAAAACATATTGTCATAATGACAAAGCATTTATCTTACAAGAAAAGTTTGTTGTTTTCATGGTATACATTGTAATAAATAAAAGTTTTTTGAAAAATGGAAGTATCTTTTTGAGAATTTTTATTTTTTTTTATAACACATCATGATCACATAACAGGGGAAAAAGAGCAGATGTTTATATATACTGCCAATGGATGCAGGCTATTTTCTCATATGGTAGCAATGTATACAAGGAACACAGGAATATACTGAACACCCTCACTTTTGGCAACCACAAATGAGACCATGCACTATATAATATACAGAAAAACCTCTACATGTTTGTCAGAAACCAAACTTGTGTAAGTGCGCACGCAAAGGATCATGGGGGAAATCATGTGCGGAGATGGCACATGAGCCAAGAACAGGACTACTGTGAATGTAGGTGTTAGGTCCAGTTATCCTCTGCGGGTTTATGCAGGGTGTGAAGCGGTTTATGTGGAAAATAAAGCACAGCTGCTGCTTTACGTGGTGATATCATATCCCGACTCTCTCAACAGTGGCACATCTCCTCTTGTTTAAATGCTCCGGGTCGTTTTGAACTGCCTGGAAAGAAGAATTTAGAAATAAATACAAAATATGCAACGGAAATGTTAACTTTAATATCAATGGGGATGGAAGTTACACGTATAAAAAACAAATATGCAATAACACCTACGCTCCATAAAAGCTTTTTTTTTAAATTTGGAAGTATTTTATACAGGCACATATTAGGACAGCCACGTTGGCAAAATGGGGCGGATATTTAGGACCCCGTGAAGCCTCCGGTATTATTTGGTCAAATATTATCCGGTTACAAAAGCAGCAGGTGGAGAGACTGGTTGTATCTGAGAAAGTCAGTCGAGAGAGGAGTTAGTAGTAAAGAGAAAGACAGAAGACAACATGGACAGGACGGTCAGCCTTCCCAATCAGCCCGACAAAAGCACCACAGGTAAGAGAACTCACGCTGTTAAAGCAGCCTGTGAGTGTTGCTGCAGCTCAGCGCACTGTACCGCTGTACCGCTGTGCCTTAGTAGTGGTAACTTGTGTTCGAGCAGCTGTGATTAAACCACCTTTACCCGACTAACTGCTTCACTGTATGTGGATTTAATTACTGAGTAGGCTGTGTTCTACATAGCTGCTGAAGTACTGTAATGCTAAGTGTTAAATGTGTGTGACTCTAGTGGAGAGTTCCGAGTTAATAAGTGTATTATTACAGTCATTACATGAATACTATGTCCTATATGAGTAATTATGTGTTTATAGATAACGATAGTAGTGACTGTGCTCGTACAGTAACAGCAGTGACAGTGATATAAC